TGCACATTTGTAAGTGTTGTTGAAACTGACAGTTTAGTCCAACTCCCTGTTTCCTGTTCTTAAGCAGAGGTTGCTGAAGCCTGAACTTCACTTAAACTTCCTGCACTTTGTTCTCTGCTTAAAGAATTCCCATGTATAAGGGAGTGAATGGTACAAGAAAGGATCAGATCTTTACTTAGGGATATGGTTTGGATAAGGACTTGTCAGTGTTAGGTTGACAGTTGGACTCTGTGATCTTTAAGGTCTCTTCCAACCAAGGTAATTCTGTGATTTTGTGTGACAGCTGCTGACTCCCAGCAAGAGAGGACACCTTGCACTCTGTAACATCTTTTACTTCTCTGCATTACACTGACTGTCATTCAAGCTTTGTGTGAGGCAAGGATATCACACAGTGGTCAGGCTTCAGAGGCTGATGGTTAAACATCCAGACAAACCCCTGCCCACATTTAAATTGCAGCTTAAATTTCATTTCACCTTAAATGTCTGGGTGGGGAAGAAAAAACTTCTATCTTAAAACACTCACAGCAGCTGCCTCCCCTCAAAAGCTGACCTAATAAAAGACAGAAAACTCCTACTCACCCCACTGCTCACTGGGTCTGCACCCAGAAGCCCACACCATGCAGCTACAAGATGGACCCAGTTCAAAATACCACTGCTCTCTGGGAGCATTAGTCAGATTTTCTTGTGCAGCAGCTGCCTGATGCTGGGAGCTTTGCACAATGCCTCACAGGTTTAGTGTCAGGGTATCTACTAAAGCAGAGCTGAAATTCTCAGAGCATAGGAATGAAGTAGCTTCCTAAATCAAATCACTTGTACTTATTTATTACTAGGAAATGCAGCTTCAATTTGCTTTTCTGAATATATATTTGGTTGCTAATGTACAGAATCCACCACATTGTTACTACCTCTCTTTATAGTTGCCAGCAGTTGTCTAGCATTGTAACTGTGAAAGTCACTGCACACTGGGTTAAATCAGTAATGAGTGAATACCTTTCACAGAAGATGAAAGCCAAGACGCTTAAAAAAACAAGAGGTCCAGAGTGCACTACATTGAATGTTGGGTAGGGCAGCAACTCCGTGGCAGCTGGTCTCAATGTGTGAATGGAGAGCGCAGGCAATTAATAAAGACAATCTTGAAAACCAAAGACAGTTCAGAACAGAAAAAATATAGGAGGGAAATGTAGGTACAGTGTATTTTGCATAATGGAAACATATTTACATATAAACCATACTTTAATACCAAGTAAGTACAAAGTAGAAATGTAAGAAGTATTAGAGCACATGGGTAAAAATTCCAGCAGCACCATGGTTTACTAAAGATCTGTGTCTTTAGCGAAAATCAGGTAGCATCGCTGCTTCTGACGTGCTACAACTCAAAGATTAAATCCTATCTGATGGTTTCCTTTTTCATGTCCAAATGAGCCAAAATATTAACTTAAAGGTCTAAACAATAGTAAGAACCTTGAGTTTTTCTTGGTAAACTACCCTAGGCGTCAGGAGACTTATTTCTCCTGTAAGAACTACCTGTGCTTCTGGAGAACATTAAAAGAGTGACACAGATGATACTGCAATCTGGTAACTCTTCCAGTGTTTGTGTTCTATTTTTTATTTGGCAGGGTTTTCATATTTTTTTTTGGACAACTCTAATACAGACCCTGCTTCTTAGGAGATTTCACCTTCTCATGTCAAAATTGCACCAGATTTATAAACATCTTACTGCATAGAAAAAAAAAACACCTTTTTTTCACCTATTCAGTAACTTCCAATTTTTAAGCAACCAGAAACTACTAAAAAGTCTTCAAAGCTGAAAGTTTCCCTTGCACCCAACTATTTGCTTAATTTAGATGGCAAAAAGCATGGTATTTCATACCTCTCTAGTGACATACTTACAAGTTCTGAGGAAATTGTTTTGAATGCAAATTAAACGAGAAAGGAATAGACCAATTTGAGCATCACTACATGTTCACTATCTTCAGAACAACTTCAGATTTTGCAGTGAGAAGACACACCAGTAACTGCCCAAACCTTTGCATGTCAACTCATGAATAGCAGGACACAGCCCTCTCCTCTCCATTGCTTATGTTCAGTAGTAATCTAGAAATTATATACTTCTCAAATTTACAGGATATGTCAAAGAATACATAAGTCAAACTGATAATAAGAATCAGCCACATTACTTAAGGCTTTTATGCATTAAATTTAACTTGGGGCATTCTGATTAGAAAAAAAAAATAACATTTTAAGTTAATCAGAAGTATTATTCCTATAACTTCACAAAATTAATTAAACGTATTTATTATCAGCTAGGCACAGAATGAATGTGACTGCCATGGGGCCAATATCTACTTTCAACTGCAATGAAAATAAGTTAATTTCTAAAGCTCTCATTTGAGTTTTCTTGTGATTATTTCCATATTGTCATGTGAAGTGATTAATTAGAGAGCAAACGCAATCACTTAAAAGGTAATTGAATGCCATGGGTCTCATGAAGGTAAAATAGATTTAGAAAAAGGAAAGAATATTCTAGAAGCTAAAATTTTAAAAAGTGTGGCAAGTGGAGGAGGCAGATAAAAAAATATAACTACTGCCTGGAAAGAATCCTATGTTATTCTTAGGTTCCTTTCTTGCCAAAGAAGTAACTTCCACTGATAGACCAAAAGCCAGGGTGAGACCTATTTGATTAAGAGCTTATATTTTGACTTGCCAAGTACAAGACACTTCTACATCCCTTTTGTATTTTCAGAATTCCTGTCCCATTAAAATATCATTGAGTCTTTTAAAATAGTTATAAAAGCACTGGAAGATTTGTAGAAGGTAAAATTCCTTTTAGATGTGAAGAATGAATATAAGAGGAAAGCCTAAAACACATAAGCATCAAGTATTAAAAGCCATGAGAATCCTGATTGTAACTTCCAAGCACCCTTTGTACTCACATATTGTTCTTTTCCAAATTCAAGATCTAAAAATCGCTATAGGAATCTATCTTTTGGAATCTCATCACGGCATACCATTTCATTTTTTATTTTCTGCCTCATTTTTGGGAGTCACCACATTTTATGCATTAGACTACAAGACATTAAATCCCTAAAATTCTCATGTTTCAAATTTCTTTTTACAGTGGTATAAAAGTGAAAAAGGGTAACAAAAAAATCATAAGTTTGAAGAAAAATTAAATGCTGTTAGGATTCAGCTGGTTCCTATTAATCAGGGCTTGGACAAGAACCGGATTTATATTCCCTTCTGAATAGCTGGAATAAGATCACTAGTTGGAAAAGTTTACTAGACCTTAAAGACACTATTTTTCTGCCTTAACTACTTTTGGCTGTAAGATGGGATAGTAACATTGTAGCCTGATTGCCCTCATACTTTCTTTTCCCATGTGAATTCTAGTTTAATTTTGATAGTTTCATAAAGACTGAAATTGCAGTTCTTTAATTTCTGATCATTTTCTATCGGAAGCCTCAGGACCAAATACAGCAAGCTAGACACCTGTCAGAACCAGCTCAATCTATCTGGGGGAGGTGTAAAGGGAGAGAAGGACAGCTTACGCATACACCCTCATGTTGTTCTTTTGGGCTTGCTCTTTTAAGCAAGGGAAGTGGGGAACAACTCCTCTTGTGTTTGGACAGTAACTGTAGGTGAGCAGCAACCTTCACGCTGGCTGGTAGCTTCGTAGGATAGAGGTATCTGCTTCCGTGGACCTCAAAGGCATCCAACTTTGTAATGGTGATATAGATTTATCCCATTTATGCTGCAGTGGTTTTCCCTATCAATTAGTGCCTGAGATCTTCAGTCATTCTTTCGTGACAACAAATAAGCATTTATGAAAACCTGGAGTACTCTAAAATATATACAGTTTCAAGCCTATACTGAAAGTTCCAAAGTAATCATCATGTCAATCACTAATTTAAGGATTTGCTTTATAGATGGTATTATAGGGATGATATACAACTGTAGTTTGCTCAGATAACCTATTTCTAGCCAGCATTTTTATTTCTAGTTCACTTAATGTTACCAGCTGAATACCATTGAGGCCACAAACTTCAGGAGAATCAGATTCACATGCTCCTTCTAAGGCTGTTTTCAGATTTCTCACTAGTTTTGATAAGTGACCAATACTTCATTTTTCCTTAACTGCTTTTAAATATATTTTTATCCTGACACAGGCAATTTCTGTATATTTTTATTTAATGTCTGTCAATTTGCCTTGGTTATATTAAACAGGATAAAATTTTCTCTTGTGTCAGGATGGCTATGTGCTGTACTAACAGCCAATCTCTCACAGTAAGAGCTACATTCCAGTGCAAGTTTTTACTGGTATGGCTATTATGACGTGAAGATCATGTACTGTTTTTCAAAGTATTTATGTATTGCTTCAGGAGGATAGAAGTGATAGAATTAGGCTCCTGCAAATAAGCCATTCCTTTTACTTAAGCCCCTGTAAGCATAAAATAAATCCTAAGTAGAATTGTTTTCCAAAGCCTCACTGGTTTCTGATTTGGTGGATCCTCACCCTGCAGATAAAGACTCAGTGCTGTTTTCCCAAAAGTACCAAAAATGGACAGATGCATCGTGGACTATCAAGCATTCTTGTTATTACCCATGCCTAAACTAAACTTTAGTCAGAAATCTAGAGGTAGGTATTTGTTGCACGCCCTATGATGACAATGGTAATGGTGATGTGATGCATGCTCATTTCTGCAAGGCAGCATTTTTCTCAGACTACTGCTCTCCCTAGAAACACTCAAAGAAACGTTTCATTACTAAATGCATTTGCAGCAAAAGGAAGTGTATGAGACACAGGCAGCTTCCAACTGACTCTTGAACATACATAAAGCTCTTATTTATAGGATGAGTCACTGTAGATATAATAAAGGAATAACATCTTGAGTCCATTAGAAATTTCCATCTCTTGCTCATCTGCTAAGATCAAGGAAAAGCTGAAATGCAGTGCCTCTGACACTCTTCTTAGTCATAATGGCTTAAGGATGCCCTTAAAGGCCTCTCAGGTGTCAGAAATTTTCCCCCAGCATTGCTACTGCTAAATTTTAATTAGTTTACCTCTTCAAATTATTCTATTGAGGCATATGTGCCAGTTGACACCTTCTCTTTAACAGCAACTTCAGCAGCAACTGTGTCCCTTATTTATCTCTTACTACTGGAATTAGCAAGATAGAATCTTAGGGGCTGGAAGGGACCTCGAGAGATCATCTAGTCCAAAGATAAAACTAATACACTGCTTGCTGCTTACTTCGGTGACATCCATTATCCCGTTTGCTGCATAGAGAGCCAAGCATATCATCCCTCATTGCAAATAATACGAGAAAACAAGCACAAGTTCACTGGCTGCAAACCATCCACTCCCAGTTTGCAACTTTTTCACTTACAGGTGCCCATAAGCAAAGATCTTTTTTAAGACACAGAACCAATTGCTTTTTGATGTGATCATTTCTCCTCTCTTATATTAAACCTACTTCAGTAGGGTATTTTATTAATCCCTGGGAATTGTAGGTAGAGAGGAACAGTATATAGGTGCTGTCTTCAGCATCATTTGAATAACACCGCATCATTTACTGGACTCTGCCACAAATAAGAATCCGGGAAGAAGACAGTAAAATACCTTTAAGAAAAAAAAACCAAACAACACAGAAAAAAAAAAACCACCACACACACAAAAAAAAAAAAAAGCAGCCCTGCTGAAAATAAGCTCTTTTGTGGTTAAAAACCAGCCAGATGGAACTGAAGTAGTGTTTTCTTAGGGTGGCAGAACAGTTGGGAAAGTTGTTGGATTATTTTTGGCAGTGGCCAGCATATTAGAGCTGTATCATTACTGTTACTAAACTGTCAAGAGTCCAATAAAAGGGTTATTACTTTACTAGTACATTATTGCAAAACTATAGTATATTCAGTCTGGTAGCATGAAGCTTTGGATTTTAGAACTTTGTTCAACCTTTCTGACACATTCATACCACTGTAACTAGCTTAAATCCTAAATACTTCAACCACACAAGTGCAGTAGAACATGAGCCATGATCTACAGACAGCAGCAAATCCAAAGAGTGGCCAAATCATTGCAGAAGCATTGCGCAACACGGTACAATGAGCACAGATTGCGTCCTGTGCTCTGCACCGCTTAAAAATGTGCATGGAAGATTTCAGCTGGATTTTTTCAAATTAAGTAGCTTGTATTTGGATCTTTGTCAGAGGCAAAGCCAGTGGCTACAGGTACTGGCAGCCAGCTCTCCTGTGGACAGAAACCGTGCAGGTGTAAAATTAATCCAATTCATGCTTTGGCATTAGCAAAACGTTCTCCTTATCAAAGGCACTTGAATCTCTACACTGATTCCAGAAGGATCTTTTGCAGTACAGCAGTACCCTATTCTACTCTTATTTTCCTTATTAAATGGAAGAGATGACCTATATAAATATTTATTCTTAATAACATACTGTTTCTATCGCTTCCAATGGCTCTCATGAATTTTCAAACAGAACTGTACTTTGCTAAGAAGGTATCAGCATGCTGGATTTAGCTGGTGAAGAAAATAATAATTTTCCTTTGATTTGGGGTCTATATGACCATTCAGAGTGTGGTAACTAACACTGGAGTTATTTCTGCCTTTACACTCACCAGAGGACAAGATTCAAGTTATGTGCCTTCAGGTGTCTGCATGTTTTGTATCTCCAGTTCTTCTCAAATATCAGACACGATCAAATAATTCTCTGCCAACAGCAATCTGTGATTATCCTTCTGATTATCTACTGAACTGACCAGATTTCCCTGTTGTCATAGTTGTTGCCTTCACCCCATTGCTTTCCTCTTCCTCACTAGGTTTCAGCAGTCAGCCTTCTGGCCAGTTTCTCCCAAACACAGTTTATGTTGCCTCAATGAAAAAAACATCCCAGCCAAATAGCTCATTTGCAGCCACTTCACATCACACACCAAACCCCCTTAAAGTTTAAAGGCCTGTGCACTGTGAAAGGTGTTCAGATTATCTCCTAAGGCAGGAATACTCAATACTAGTGAAAAAAGGAAGCCTGATTAGAACACAAAGAGCTACTTGTCTTTTCATCTCATCAGTGCTAGTTTGCCAAAGGTCTTGATTAAGAGATTCCATCAGGTAAGACCTGATGACCCCCTAAACGTAGAGTATACTGATTTGTTGTTTTTTTTTGTTTGTTTTTTTTTTTTTTTTTTAACTGAAATTGCAGACATCCAGTTTTGTGGCTTAGCAGTTTGGTAGCTTTTAGCACACAGCGTCTTTTTGCTCTGGCAGCTTAGATCCTTAGAATTATTTTTTTCTTTTTTTCTTGTTTTCTTGTTTTCTTTTTTTCTCTTTCCATGTGTGAATGAAGGATCTCAGACATCTTTCCTTCACTGAAACAGACTCAACAGCCTCTCATGAAACTGCTCAAGTGGAACTCATGTTCCAAACAATCAACAGAGTCAAGTCACTATCACTGGAGAACCTGTGAGATGCTTTATCACTCCAGTATGCTGAGCTGCTCACTCTTTTTTTTTTTCCTCCACTCACTTTCACTAAATGTTACACTACTTCAAAACAGCCCAGCCAACTTGGCAACTGCATTTCTTCACACTTAGCTCAAATACTGATGGGGAGGCTATAAGTATCCAGCAGGTAGCTGTTTTTTCATGTGAAATGTTAAGATCTCTGACGATATTTACGTATGTGCTGACAAAAACCAAAAGGAGAAACAAAAGTTACTTTCCACTGGCTGTTCAGAACATACAGTACCATGCATCTTGGCAACCCTTCTTCAAGGTCTCAAAAGGACTTCCAGCATTTAGGACACCATAAGAAGAGAAAGTATTGGGTATGAACTGTGTGCGTAAGACGTGTGCATAGCAGATCTGTGGATAAGGCATAGATAGGTTCATGTCCTGCATGTACTACAAGTGTCTCTGGTTTTGAGTGTTTGAGTACTGACAATAGCAGTACACCATTCTGAAGTACTGTGACAGACAAAAGGACATGGGACTGGTGAGAGTACTGCTTAGACCAATCTGGACAACCAAGCAGAGTAGCTGCTGAGTTTTACAATGACTGCATTAGCTGGCAGACAATTTGCAGTGCCTTTACTTGTAACCAGATTTGCTTCCCAAACAAAGATGACGGGGGTCTGAACCCTTACTTGTCTGTTGATGACATGCACACTGAGCTCAGATGGAGACATCAGCAGGTATTGCTCCACTATGCTGTATCACTCCTGTTTTTGGCAAGCCTGGAAGATGCTCAAGACCCTGTTAACCATAGTCTGGTAAAAGCGATGACTAAAGGTAGCTGTCTTACCAATGTGATGCTCTTGAAAGTTCGAGTATTGCACTTCAGACAACCTCTACAGTGTAACAGCGAAAAAGGAACAGCTTAGAGAGCCAAACAAGTGGATCTGCCCATATACTCTTGCTATCAAGGGGGGAATGGTACTGATTGCATACTTATTTCCTGAGTAATTTTTGAAACAAAAAACTCTGGGTTCTAGTGGAACCCAGAGTAAGCAATTCCCAGACTCAGCTACGCAGTCAAACTAGCCTGATGGCATGCTGCAGCCAACCTCAGCTCAGTGTCTGGATGAAATAAAGACCTTGCAAGGAGAGCAGTTTTTTTGTGCAGTATACTCAGAGGTAAGCACAGCACACCTTCTCTTCTCAGAGAAGACTGAAATAATCTATTACAAGTGTCACACAGTTTCCTGAATAGCTATACCAGAAAAAAAGTGTTTAAATGACGCTTGACAAACATACAGGTAGGGAAGAGAGCTGTTATCCTGAACTTAAAAAATCATTAGTCTGTCTTACAGAGAATGCAGAGCAGTTTGCATTTAAAGCTCTTGTTTTTTGAAAAGCTTAGTTCTTTTCCTTATTAAACAACTTGCTTCACTGACACCCACTAGCTAGGTACTATCTGGCTAAAATGGGAGTTGCCATTTATCCTGTCTTCTTTTATTCTGTCTCCAGACACTGCATCTTTTGTGGGGCATGTTTACTTAAAATGAGAGATGGTCCACTTAGAAGTCACAGTTCTAATTAAACATTCTCTGTTTTAGTATAGTTTTTGTACTTTTGGCATTGAAATGCTTGTGATAAGCTTCATGGCCAATATTACAAATATCCATGTACTACCAGCACTAGAACTGGCAGCTGGGCGTCTCCCAGGAAATGCAGGTGGCTGCATGTGGCATGCACTGACACACTTCTAGAAAGCACCATGAAAGGGTCTAGCAACTAAGAATGTAATGAGGTTTAGAAATAACCACTGAAAATAGCCTGTAAAATATCTGTACTTGTCAGTAAGAAAGTCCACAATTCTCACAGTCTAAGGCAAACTTATTCTTTAAATGTTAAATTTTTTTGCTTATGTTGTCATCAAGTCTAGCCCGCTTTTTTAATCTGTCAGTTTCTATTCTCCAGTAATTTAATAATTGATTAAAATATTCAATTTTGCATCCTCAGGGAAACTACCAAGCATACCAAATACATTTTGCCTATGTTTCTACAACACTGCCCCACAGAATGTTTTACTGCAAGGAAAGAAAACGCAAGGCAAGTTTAAAAAAAAAAAAAAAGATCAGGTGAGATCTTTCTCATCTTGTGTTAATGGCCTAAACACAACCATCTTAGCAGATACTACATAAAAAACTCTAAAAGGGAGATAAATGTAGCTGCGTTTTAGAGCAGTGAATCTTGTATAGCACAAAACCAGAAACAGCTCTTTGCTGACATTGCAATGTCTCTTTCCTATAGAAGGGAGTAATAATAAAAAGGGTATATGTATAAACACAATAGATTGAGGCTGCTATTGGCATGTCTAAATTGTGCCTGGATTTTGTTCTGCAAACCTTTTCCATTAGCATTTCTGTCAGGAAAGCCAATTCATTAGAGATGTAATGAACCATCTGATTTTAATTTGGTTATAGAACAAGGGGTTACGCCAAATAGTGCATAGCTGAGCAACTCAGCCACACAGCTCCATTTCCTTATACAGATGATGACGACGGCTTGAGCATCAGCAGCATGTGGCAAAGTAGCAAACCTCAGCCTTGTTTTAAGCAAATTAAAGTAGCTTTCAATCAGTAAGGATTTCCTCTGGAAGATTTTACTCTCATCGTCATTTTGTCTACAATTCTGCTAGCCCACCTGTTGCACAGACAACTGCTAACATGCCTTTTGGTTTTTCTCTTCTGCCCTTGATGCCAGGACTGTAGCACCTTCAGCCTCCCCAGTCCCTACCTTCACTTAGGATATCCTGCTGATTTCCTAAATGCTTGCCCAGCCCTGCACAAACACTGCTGTTTATTTCCTTTCAGCTCTTGTCCGAGCTAAGACTATCCACACAAGATCCAATGGGACATCTTAAGGTTCTGTATTTTCTACAAGACTGTGCTTGAGCAAAGCTAAAGCCTTGGGTGAGGGCTTTAGTGCTGCTCCAGATTCTGAGAAAGCTGAACAGAAACAAAGAGGGGGAACTTAAATGGTTATTGACCCACACCCAGAAAAAACATTAAGACATGCCAGGAAATCACAGTGGAACTGTGCAGAGCCTGATTCCTCCTTTCCAAAACCCTGTTTGTCCAGTGTATGCATGGCTGCCTGACTACTGGCCAGACACAGTGTAATTCAGGGCCAGCTGAGACATGTCAGGCAAAACAAGGCAAAGAGAAAGGGAGGAGCCTCACTTGGTAGTTAGTTGCTTTTTTCTGTTTCTACCCTGTCTCTGTTTATTAGGTCTGTATAGAGGAAATACGTCTGCCCTTAACTGCAATTTCAGATTGTATTTGAATGTCTCTTATTCCCAGGATGCTTCCTGTTGATTTGTTAACCCAACACTTGGCTGAATTAATCAATACATGGTAGTTACCTAACAAGGCATTACTGCTGCTGGTCTTCCAACATCAAACTGTTCTTAGTGACATTGTGGACATTTTTCTTATGCATTTCCATACCCAAACAGATGTGCATATTCTCCAGATTAAATGAAGACTAGCACTGGCACTGAACTGCTATGCAGTGACACTTGTCACTGCTCACAGTACTCTGAAAAAAGGAAGGTGGTTCCATGTACATAATTCCCAGGACGATGGCCAGAACAGTTTTAGTGAGCTTACAACTAAAATGCCAAACCAGAAGTAGTCTGGCCTAATAGGCAATTTTAACACGGAACAATGCCATCTATCCTCATGACATATGATGCCTGATCTCTTCTGAGAAGGAGCCTGGGCTTTATCTGCACAAAATCAGCAATGTGGTACATCCCAAAAGGGCAGATGGCATAGATGGAGGCTGCTGAGCCACCCAGAGTGGTGGGGCCTGTCCACATGGCAGGTAAGCATGGCTGTTGAGTGTGTAATAATGGCACGATTCACTGGAGCTCCCCTACTTCCACAAGTACTGGCTTGGTAGTCCCCACCCTAGCCCCAAGGATATCTCTGCAGACAAATAAACTGAACGGACAGTTATTTTAGCCAAAGGACTGCCTCTGCTCTCACTGTTCTGCAAGGCATCTGCAGCCAAGAGATCAGCCGTGACCAAAAAGGTTGCTGCAAAAATCACTAGAGATTTTACTCCTGGAAACATGTTGTTGCCATATGGTCTCCACATTAATAACACCAAATAAGTGCTTCATAAACAGTGTTCTAATAACAAATACCAGAGGAATTAATAATAATCTAGCTAGTATTTTCTAATGTTCTTGCTTTATTAAGAACATTTATGCTGTCTGAATGAGCTCTTCTGGAAGAACATCTGGCACCCACATGAATACCTGATGAAATCTGTGTGATCCTGGGTATCTTATACATTTATTGTCAGCAACTGCATCAATTTGTGCCAGCATGGCTTACAGTAACATTACATTTTTATTTTGTTCTAGGTGCACTGCGTAATGTCTATGCTGTACTACACTCTGATTATAGCTTGTTTGATCGGCACACAGGCAGCTCCAAAGTCAGAGGACAATGCTCCACTGGAGTACCCCACAGAACACTCCCTGCTCAATGCCCACTGGAGTAACAGACACCACATTCCCAAGGCAAGTTCAAAGATATCCCACGGCCACTCTACTTGGACAACAGGTGGAAGAGAAGCTATAAATACCACCATGGATCCAAAAGTTTTTAAGAAGAGGCGTTTCCGGTCTCCTCGGGTGCTGTTCAGCACACAGCCCCCCCCAGTGTCAGGGCAAGGACAGAACACAGAATTTCTCAGCAGTGCAGATTCTCTCAACAGGACTGCCAGAACCAAGAGGGGTGCACATCCCATCTTACACCGGGGAGAGTTCTCTGTGTGTGACAGTGTCAGCATGTGGGTTGGGGACAAAACCACAGCCACTGACATTAAAGGCAAAGAGGTGACAGTGTTGGGAGAGGTGAACATTAACAACAATGTTTTTAAGCAGTACTTTTTTGAGACCAAGTGCAGGGACCCTAAGCCAGTCTCCAGCGGATGCCGAGGGATCGATGCAAAGCACTGGAACTCTTACTGCACCACAACACACACCTTTGTCAAGGCGCTGACGATGGAGGGCAAGCAAGCAGCCTGGCGGTTTATTCGAATTGACACAGCCTGCGTGTGTGTGCTCAGCCGTAAGTCAGGGAGACCCTGAGATGGATCTAAACCCCATGACAACATCCTTCTACCCCCCTACCTCAGTCTGTAAATTATTTTAAGTTATAAAGGACTGCATGGTATATTTATAGTTTATACAGTACAGAAAGAACCTCATTATTTATTAAACTCTTTTGGAAACCTTTTGTGTTTTGCAATTTATTTACTGGCAGAACCCTTCAGAAGATGTTCACTTTAGTCTCATAAAGCCCTACAACTCCAAAATGTTCACAGGGCCACTGAACAATCTTTGCTTGCCATTTGACAAAAATAAAACATTTTTCATGCTGTTTTCACCTATATTACTATCTTCCACAACAAAAGAACTTTCCTCACACAACCTAGGAGTTTACTGTGAAAATCTTGAAAGGTTATTTTGAGTTGAAAATTTTTGTCCAACTACCAAGAGACTGCAAAAAAATCTTCCCAGACTTGCTTCCACTTTTACTAACTAGGTATAAACATATTATTCTTATATAATTAATCACCTTAGCAAACTTCTGGTAGAAATACCAGTTCTCCATATTGCTAGATGAATTTCCTAAGTAAGGCCTTTTGTGCATTTTTTTTTTTTAATTTGCCAAATTATTTTAACTGCAAAAAAAATCCATTCTGAATTATTTTGGAACATTTGTCTGCACACCTGTAGAATCTATATGTATGTATTTTTGCATTAAAATGGTATTTTGCAGCTCATTACTTATGAGCTATGTTACACTGATAGGGTTGCAAATGTCAAGATACGTATATAAATGAGAAAATTCATGTGGCTTATAATTAAATTCTGAAAACTCTCCCGAGTTAGTATTTTAACATAGGGGCAAGTCTTTTTATGTGTAATAGAAGAAAAAATAAAAATAAATAAATAAACAAAAATCACTGAGGCTGTGTTTTAGCAAGGAGCCTCAAAAATAACTCTGTGCTCATAATTTCTGTGCTTTTGGGAACACTGGTGTCAAAAAGTACACAGTGGAATTTGAGGCCTATGATGGGTGTTTCAGTCATGGCATACTGAATAAAGCTACAGTTTCTCTCATTGTTTCCTTTGGAAGAGCAGCTGTTAGCCATTGCAGAAACTGCTTTAAAAAATTACCATTAATGTTTTTCAGCTTAGTTTCTTCCAGAACCTAGAGGGCACATTTTCACCCTTGCCTTCCCGCATGATCTCTTTAATGAAAAAAGCAGACCTGACATTTGCTGCCTCCACATAAACAGCAAAGAAGGGCAGTAGATCTCTAGAGAAAATGTGGTAAAACAGTGCCAGTGGAAAAAAACAAACCTTGGCAAGATGTGCTTTCTGGTACGATAGAGCCAGTCTGTCTGACATGGAACCCACTGAGACAGACACCATTTCTGATAATTACTGGTATGCCACTTTTCAGCCCTCTCTAGTACTTGTTTATGGTGTGGGACAGCAATATTGCAGTGAGAATGTTTTGCACTCTCCAGAACAACATTTTTGCAATATTTGCATGAATAGTTAGTTATATGAAAGGTCAAGGAGAAGGCAGGCTCCTGACTGCTGACTGCCCTCTGTCCTCCAAATAATGGCAACTTGTTCTGGAGCAGGGGTTGGCAGTGAATACTAAGGAGTAGTCATTGAGCAATCATGTAGGCATCAGACCCTCTGACAGCAGCAGCCACCTGCCAGTCATCACAGGAGAGATGGATGGAGATTAATGAAACACAGGATTGTGAAGCAAAGAAAAATGCCAAATTGGAGCGGAGTCCCACCTGGGCCTTTTAGTGGCTTTAAAGAGAAAGGAAAAAACAGCAAATCTGCTTTAGAAGTGCTCTTTACCATACATGACACAAAGCAACTAGAGAAAAACAAAGCTGCTACTCATCCAGGACTGCTATTATTACAAAATGGAGACTGCTATTATTATTTAACCACTGACAAAACAAAACTGCAATTGCAAGTGTCTCATGAATGCATTTGGTAATTCCAAACATGTAAAACTATGGCTTTTCTTCAAAGAGCCCTGAAACTAGCAACTTTCTTAAAGAAATCCTAGATGTTGAAATTCCTTCCACATCCAGCCCACTTAGGAGTTCCTCTGATTACACCTTAAAGCACATTCTTGCCAAAAACAAGCTACTGCCACCTGTAGTAGCTAACCTGAGGGACAAAGAGCTGTAATTAAAAGCTCTATGAACTACTGTTAAAAATCTGGACTTTAAGATTTCTATTAATAAACATTTAGCCACTAATTATGGGGGAGGCTTTATTTAGTCTTGCTGAGATTGCTGCGATCTATTCCACATTTATCCCTTCAGCTGATTTTTATTTTGTGCTCATAGGACTGAAACTAGACTACTGGTTCATCTTTCACAACAGTGACCTATTGTATTACTGACATTTCTTGCCTGTTCATAAAAAAGGTCTCAAAAGAGAGGGTAAATTAATGAGAATGAGTGGGGTTTTATTACACTAAAGTAAGAAAAACCTAGAGTTAGAAAGAGAATTCTTGCCACATTTTAATTTTTATATTACCTGTGTGTTCAGATAGCAAGATAAGGCTTCATCTCTGATTATAGCTACACAAAGCCAACCTGTGAGATTCCCCCTGCAGCACTCAAATTTCATTTCACTTAGATATTTACATCATGTTTAAAGACTAAGATTTATAACAGCGATAGTCCTACTTGTTCTTGCAGTAAGGCACTACACTTCCCTGTTACCTCCCATCAGCAGAGAAACATTCTTGATAAAGCCCACGCACAGAGTTTCACCAACCTAAAGTATCATACAATAAGGATACCGTGAAGTCAGAAATGTAGTACAGGACAGAATACCTGGAGGTACATGCAATTGTCATCTCTAGGCACACCAAAGAACATACAAAACAAATACCTACCAGAAACGCCTCGAGCGAGATGCAAGGACTACATGACATTTCAGTGACATTTGCCACAATTTGTGTGCTTCCAGGCAAGAGTTAAATTATAACTCTTTTTGTTCAAGTTATGTGCATAGTAGTCACTCATCTACCAAAAGTCTGAGATAGAACTTGAAAATATTTTCAGTTATGTATATGGACCCTGATAAACATGGCCCCATACTTTTGGAATTTCAATATGGATGAAGGAGTAGGAAGATCATTGCTGTGTAGAAACTCACAAATGCTACTGATCTACAGTACAGCAGATTGGGTTAATCATATCAGAAACAGAACATAACCTGGTAGAGCATTTTTTACTACTATTGTTGATATTCCAGAGGCTTAGCCTTCCAAAGCATAGTGAAGCCAATGACAAGACATCTTTCATAAAGACCTTCTCATTATCTCAGAAAACGATATCTCTTAGCATCCTAAACCAGAGACAGGCGAATGGAAAATTCCTCTACATTAACATATTGTGAGGGGATCTTTAAAGCCAGTGTTTCCCACAACATATTAGCAAGTTGGTCTCAGAACGCAATGCTTCCAGGAGGTGAATCAGTGTCTGTATCTGTCAGTGCCCTCTCTCAGTGGCCTCAAGTTACTGACAAGACAGCAGTATGTTACAAACTCATTTGCCAGAGAAATCAAGACAGATAGCTATTATAGCAAATTATAGTAAGAGTTTATATAATAGAGCAAAGGTGAAAATCTGTTTTCTAACATGATTTTAAGGAAAGGGAAAAACAATTACAGAATTACTGCTCAG